TTGTTCTGAAGAACTCGGAAAAGTACTCTGAAACGTTGTCGTAATTGGAACATACTTTTCCGAAAGATTCAGAGTCAATCAGAAGGAAAAATTTAGAAATATGGAGTTTTCAGAGTAATTCTGATAAATAAACGATAATCAGGAAAATAAAAAGTGAAATTTTTGAGATTTTCAAAGAGTTTCTCAGAGTAAATCAAAATTAAATATAGAATTTAAATTTTAACATTTCAGGATTATTTCAGAAACAATCAATATAAAATATGGACTTCAAATTTTACATTTCAGAATATTTCGAGACAATAATATAAAATATGGACTTTAAATATTTACATTTCAGAATATTTCAGGATATTTCAGAAACAATAAATATAAAATATGGACTTTTGAAAATTCTTACATTTCAGATATTTCAGAAAAAATCAGAAATGTGGAGTATTTTCGGAATAAGTTGAAAAAAAATTGAAATTAATCTGAGATGTTGCATTCATCAAAGAAAACATATTTATGCAAAATTATAAAATTATAAAGTATCTTATGAATGATAATACAATAGAGTTACAATAGGAATTAAAAAATGAAACCAAAATCTATATACTTCATAAATAAATTAAATGAATGATTTTCGATAATTTAAATAGCCAAAATGTCCTAGATCCAACGTTTTCATCATAGTCCTGTCATCATAAAGAATTTACATTTTTAATGTTTTCATCATAATGACAAAACTATGTTAAAAGAATAGGCATCTTGGACATTTCGCCTATTGAGTATTAAAAATCATTAAATCAATTATAAGTAAATTATTGCTAAACTTTATAGAGAAATGACATTGATCATTAAAACTCTCAGTCTATGCAAATCATTTAAATCTCTCTATGCTGTACATTATTTGTAAAAACAAAAAAATTACATTAAATAAAACAGAATAACTTTTTTATAAAACTTTTCGTAATAAAAAATATTTATAGCTTATATCTATGATTAGAAGAAACCACTAGTGATGGTTTACAATATCGGGGTAACCATATTGCAATACTGATTAATGTTCAACTTAACATAACATCAGTCATTACCTTAAAGAGGTAGGTTTATCAATCATTTATCTCAAGAAATATTCAATAGAAATTAAATGAAAAAAAAAATGTTAATCTCTTGTACTCTTTGGACGAATTGAATTGATGATTTTCGATAATTCAAATAGCCAAAATGTCCTAGATTCCAACGTTTTCATCATAGTCCTGTCATCATAAAGAATTTACATTTTTAATGTTTTCATCATAATGGCAAAACTATGTTAAAGAATAGGCATCTTGGACATTCGCCTATTGAGGTATTAAAAATCATAAATCATTATAAAGTAAATATTGCTAAACTTTATAGAGAAATGAACATTGATCATTAAAACTCTCAGTCTATGCAAATCATTTAAATCTCTCTATGCTGTACATTATTTGTAATAACAAAAAAATTACATTAAATAAAACAGAATAACTTTTTTATAAAACTTTTCGTAATAAAAAATATTTATAGCTTATATCTATGATTAGAAGAAACCACTAGTGATGGTTTTACAATATCGGGGTAACCATATTGCAAATACTGATTAATGTTCAACTTAACATAACATCAGTCATTACCTTAAAGAGGTAGGTTTATCAATCATTATCTCAGAAATATTCAATAGAAATTAAATGAAAAAAAAAATGTTAATCTCTTGTACTCTTTGGACGAATTGAATTGATGATTTTCGATAATTCAAATAGCCAAAATGTCCTAGATTCCAACGTTTTCATCATAGTCCTGTCATCATAAAGAATTTACATTTTTTAATGTTTTCATCATAATGGCAAAACTATAATGAAAGAATAAGCATCTTGGACATTTCGCCTATTGAGGTATTAAAAATCATCAATTGAATTTACGCATTAGTATTAATTATTTTCATCAGAATCGTTTTCATTGTTCTACCCTTACGTTTTTTTTGGCTATCGTCTTTCTGGCGCCTCCAATGGCTCGTCCCAGGTAAGCATTTACTTCCTTCATTTCAACAGTTGTGTCATTTTATCGCGGTGTCTAAGATACCTCTCAAACTGATTTATTACAACTAACTTTTTTTTTCTTCGAGAAGTGACGGTTCTCTCTCCCCTCTATGTGAGCGACAGATCTATTAGCCAATTGTTCTTGCCCCCAGAGGGCATAAGCTAATTTTGTAACGAAGAGACTTGGTTTGACTTGATTTTTTGCCTTATTATAAGCAACTTGGCTGACCCACTCGCCCTCTCCCAAGTAAATGAGACCTGATCTTTTCGTTCCTACAGTGAGATTCGCCTCATTATTTAAATTCAAGTTGTTCGGTGAAAGTAATCTTAGTGGTGGTTCTTCTATGTTGTGAGGTGGTATTTCTATGTTGTGTTCTGGTTCTTCTATGTTATATGGTGGTTCTTCTATGTCGTACGGTGGTAGTTCTACGTGTGTGATGGTGCTTCTCTGGTGAGGCTGGGTTATTTATTTCAACTACCTGAAAAGTGAACAATTAAATGATTTTAAAATATCAACTGTAGGGAGAGGTTTCAAGACGACAGTTTATTGGCTCTACAGAATTTTCTTTTATATATATGGCTGTAACCCGACAATTTCTGTAAGTAATATAGTTTATGTATTTGTGCATCATGTAATTGTTTTTGCAAAACTAGCCAAGTTTAACAATTATTGTAAAAAACATCTAATCAAACCATACTAACAGTATAAATGTTTTTAAGGACCTTATGTCTTTTGCATTATAAAAAAAAAGGATAGTTGAAAAAAGTTTCGGTCAAACTATTTTGTGTATTAAACATTTCTAAAATTAGAGGAATATTAAATAATGGCTACTCACATCTCAGTGTCTGCACTTGTACTAGCTCGGGCTTTTTCGTGGGCATCTATAATGGCCTCAGCCATCTTCCGTTTACTGCTTTTTTTTTGTCTCAAGCTTCTGTAGGCATTATGTATATATATTACTGTCATAATCAACGTTGTAATGGTTGTAAAATTTGTAAATAAAAATAAATAAATTATATAATTTTGCTATATTTTCAATTTGGTAAGGAAAGCTGTCGTTGAATAGATTTTAATAAATCTTATGAAATTATCACTTTATCAATAAATGAGACATAAAAAATATTGTTAGTTATCCATTGTAAAAGACTAAAAGACACAAATTTTTATCTCTTAAAATAAATAAAGGTGATTATGAGGAGAAAATTGTAATAGTAAAGTAAGCTATTGAAGATTTATGTTAGTGGAAATTAAGTGCAAGTATTAGATCAAATTCAACAAGAACTTATCACTACTTTTCAGTAATTTCTTCTGATACTTTATTATCAGGGTGAAGTTGTTATTGTAATGGCTCCGTACCTTTCCGCTTTTGGAATTAGCAAGTAAAGTATAGACAGTAATAATAATAGACGTAAAACATTATATTTAAGATTTCCGGATTTCTATACTCTTCACCTTTTGCTGTAATTCTTAATACATAAACGCAAATAATTAATGATCAAACTACAGGTGTATTAAAAGCAGAAACAAAATTTGACGGACTCATTCGATCTCACAATCATCATGAAAACAACTATAGCTCTACTCAAAAACTGTACTATCCACTCTACTGAATCATAATAACTATTCAAAGCTATGAGTGTAATTAAGACCCATAAATAACTGTCATAACATTGAACTCATTGAAAAACTTCTATTTCAAAGGATTACCGAAATTATTTTTTACGTAATAATAAAAATGCTGAATTTTCATAAATTAAAAGTCTTTTTATTGAAACAATAAACAAGTTTCATATTTAAAAAATGATGAATATATTTACCTTTCTTTGTACCTTAATCACTTCCTCTTCGTCTTTATCACTTTCATCCTCATCATCTCTGTCATTATTACTTCGATTTTCATCACTTTTACCGTCATCATCGTTTTTTGACGTTTCATCAGTTTCATCATCTGTATCCATAATATCTTCAATTTTATCGGAGTCGTTTATTTTCGGATCAGGTATTCTTTTTTCTGCAATTATATTCTCCAATTCCTCTTGTGTTTCTTAAAAAAAATGTATATGTATATAAATTGATACTAAGTAGTTGGATATAATTAGATAGAATTATATTGTTCTTCAATAATTTAAAATTATTTATAGAAAACGAACAGTTTCTATTCAAAAACATACAAAAGTAATAGTAAATCACGTGACTAAAAAGAAATTTACATCTTTTATTTATTGTACTTTATTCACTTAAAGTACAATGTGATAAATTATTTTCGTTGGTGGAATAAAAAATACGTTCTCGTGCAAATTAACATTATAATTATAATGCATAAGCAAATGAAATTGAATATGTTTAAAAATAAATCATTTTATTAAGGCAGTAGTTAAAATTACGTATATACTACAATTAATTTATATCGATAAGGTACTATACACATATATAACTATTTATGTTACATGTCGTTTATGTGCGTTATAGAAGTAAACTATAAAATTCAAAATTAATTTTAAAAAAAAGTAATTCTTTCATCTTTAATATCAACCCAATTTCTAAAAACCGGCTTGAGAATAAGTATGGAAACACCCTGTACAATTATTTTAAGGTTATCACTAACCATTGTTCCCATGTGGCGACAATCATTAACAATAACTACGTATCAGTAATTTATTTCATATTCATTCAAAAAATTTCTTTGCTACAATAACATTTACAGACATATAACATGAATAAAAAATAATAAATGTATCTTTCTCACCTCCAACTAATAATATTCTACAGGATTTCTTTAGATTTTTCTCGTGTAACAAATACATTTGTTTGTTTGATGGATTGTCGATATAAGTGTCGAAATCGATTATATTTTTAGTCTTAACAATTTTTTTTTCTAAAGTTTTTAATAACTTTATGTACGCGAATTTCATTGTTGCACAAAAAAATAATATTAATTCCGACAAAACGAATTTTCTTAATTATATTGCGCACCCAACGTCTCACACAACGTGCCTGCATGTACTGGTTCTTGAAAGGTTATCACGTGTCTGATAGAACGAGAAGTGGGGTCAGAGAGAAGTCCTAGTGGTTGATGTGAGGGCATCACACACGTACTTGTATACTTTTACTTTCAAAGATAGAGTCAGTAACAGAAATCGTACTAAAAGTGAAAATTGTGATTGTGATTCATTGTAACGCGTTTATTATTAAATAAAAAAAGAAGATACGAGATTTATTAATAAACACATATTAATGGTAAGATAAGCATAATTGTTTTTTATTAGTGTGCACGATTTATTGAAAAAAGACTTTATCAAATACATGTTTAATAATATAGTAATTTATAACCTCTTTGGTGTATCAACTTGTATCGTTATTTGCATATTTCATTGATTCATAAAAATCTTTTATCTTTTTTAGAAATTATATAAATATTAAAGTTTCCATCTTAATTTACATGATTCAAAATTAATGTATCACTTCTGCATTCATCACTGTAACAAATATAATTAAATGCCTCTTTGTATACCTAAAGCGAAAATTATCGATTTTCTGTGAACTTCAAACATTTGAATTTACTGAACATATCTAATTAATTTACAGATACACCTGTTATAATAGTAAAAATGGAATGGAATAATGAATGATAAAATTGAATTGATGTGATAATTTTCTCCGGGCATCATATCTAGTAAACCACTTTGTGCACTCTACAAATAAATCTACATATATTTATGATTATTTTATATGCTTTCTTTTTCATGAGGTAAGTTTCTCTTTTGTATCTATATCATTTTTTGTTTTGATAATATTTCTACGACTTAAGTTAAATCAATGTATAAGAAGATACTTTATGTTTAGAAATCAAATGAATCATTCTACAATCGTCGATTCATTTCTCTTATTTATTTTCAGTTATGATTTATTCTTCATTATTGTCACAATCCATTTAAAAAAATTTGAATCTTAATTTATTAATCATTTTCTTTATTCTATGACTTCAATTATGATCCGAAGTTTATAAACTAATAATAATGTAGGGTTAAAAATTATTATACATGTTAGAAAAAATAGAAAATATTGAAATTCGATGCTTTACAACAAAATGCTATGCTTTACATAGTTTCACGCAATTTTAATTGGTACGGAAAATAATAATGAACCATTTACGTATTTATTTGGTGTAAAGATGATACTATCAATTTGATAGTTACCTGGTGTTGATTGACCTGTTTTTGTGGCTTCCATATCAATAAAGGTTAATTGATGGATGACCTAAAACCACTGAAATATACTCATAATGCAAGTAATTGTTAATAAATTTTATGAACTTATTACAGATGCTTTATTAACTAAGTCCTACGACATTTTTTAATAACAGAGTTTATCTCTCACTAAAGGTTCTCCAACAATCGATCACTTGATATTCTTCTATCTATCAAACAATTTGTCATTACTATCAAAGTTCATAGAAATGATCATATTTCAAGAAACACCAGAAATAAAAAAGAGTACTTTTCTTCTCAGTTCATCATTTTCATTTAATATTCATTTATTAATGGCTTCAGTTCAGTTAATAATTAAAATTACAAAAATATCTTTCTATTTATCTGAACAGTTTCTGGATTTTTGAGTTATGATAGAATTAATTAAAAATAAATTTTCTAAATTTTGCTAAAATTATTTATTATTTTGGATTTATTGAAATTAATAATACTCTTATCTTTTATTAATTATTTTTGAAAACCTGTTCTCAAGCGAAATTCTCATCAAAATGTTTATACACTCTTTAATAAAATTAACTGCGTATAGATTTGTTGAACATTTGATGGAATGCAGGATAAAGCCAGTGCTTTAGGTCGAACTTTTAATGAAGTATCAAGTACTAGTAATTAATAGTAATTATTAAATTAGTAATAAGTAAAATCATAGTTACTTTTGAAATCTGTTAAAAATTATTTCAATCTCCATAACATCCTTGTGGTATGGTGATAAAAAGTAGGTTATTCGTTCTTATTTCAACTAAAAAACCTGGTTGAACTAAGGATTCCGGATTACAAGTTTGAATGATGTTTGTTACAGAACATTTTTTGATGTGAGTAATATTTACATTTTCTGTTGACATGAAGAAAGGATCATCATTCAATAAAATTTCGCGATAATATATAACGATATTTCTTGATTCTAAAAAGTAGCATATATTTGAAATAATTCCTAACTTTCCATTTCTCATTTGGATTATGGAGTCATTTTTTTTCTCACATCTACGGTAGCATTCTGAAGTATATCGAATATCATTACAAATCATTCGAGTAAATTTTTTACAGCTACTCGTAAATCAATCAGATTTCGTTCTACTTCACTCAATTCATAATCACTTCATTTCCAATTAATATACAATTTCCTTCTCTAAAATTATATTTTAATCTTCCATTTAACGTGCTGCTACAAAACTTGTTAAAATTTTCACCTTTGATGAATTTTTCTCCGAATGTTGGAAGTGATTTGTACAAATAATATTTCCTTGCAATTTGTAAAGCTACATAAGTAGGACTTTTTCTCAATTGTAAAATGAAATGATTTTCATTCTCAAAGCAAAAGGCGTTATGAGTCCATAATGGCCCCCAATTGAATACACTGATGCGCATATGAAGAAGTAAATGTATATTATAAGTCATGGCTCTTTCTCCAAAATATTCTTGAAATAATGTAACAAATCTAATAAGTTGGCCATCCGCTGTGATGATCATCTCATTTGTTATACTTTTGGATAAAAATATATTTACAGATGAAACAAGCAATGCTAAATGTTTTAAGTATTGAGCAGGTAAAATTCCATCTAAGCAAATTAGTGAATAAAATATCAACCATGAACGCCATTCAGATGCTTTCCAAATATTTCTTTCTTGCAAGCTTCTGGGTGCTCGTGTAATACATGAAGGGTGTTTGATCGATAATAATCTCTGATTTATTCTAAGTAAATTTGTAGGAGATCCAACATAAAATTCTGCATTAACGGTAGTCAATATAATTTCTGTATACTGTTTGACAACTCCAAGCAATATTGAATGCATATAGTCAGGTACCATGCCGTCGACCAAATCAAAATATTCCAAGTTCATCAAAATGGATGGACCAAGAACACCTTTGATTTCACTTGGTGCTTGTGGATTACTTATAATTTCATTCATTGCAATTTTGATAGATCTATCTGTACGATCTTCAGGCACAGTAGTTGATATTGGATATCGTATTCCATTCAAATAATCACCTTTTGTTCACAAAACGTGCATCCGAAATAGCCATTGTACTGTTTCATATTTAAAATTTTACAACGTGCAACGGAGTCAAAACATCCATTGAGTGGAAATATTTTGCTCGTTATTTGCCGTTTACCTAATTTCCATTGGATACCTTCACTTGATAAAGAATTTGCTTCATTAACAAATGGTTTAAAAAATAAATTCATGTTCGGTTCCACATTACTGACCCACAAACCAGTCATAATGATATGTTTTGCCCTCAACTTCGGTGGTAGTTGATGAATCATAGCGTATATCGGCCATACTGCAAGTCGACTTGATTTTGACATTTGGCACCCATCGCTATTAAATGTATAGGACAGATTATAACGGTTAGCTAAAGGTTGATTGTCAGCACTGAATTTCCGGTAAACATGACCATCATAAATATCTTCCAGTACTCCTCTATTTTGTCGATTTCGTTCAGATTCGAAAAATTTCTGTATTTCAGTATTTTCCAACAATTGTTGAAGCTGCGCTCGAAAATTTAATGTTAAGAAGAAAGATATTTTTGATTTGGGGATCGTCTCTTCGCAATTCGTACATGATAATGGTGTTGCTATTTTCAAATCTGCACGTTCTTCAATATATTGTTGACACTCAGGACAATATAGATGATATTTTACTGCATCGTCCGGTACTGACAAATTCTTCAATAATTTATATTTTGATGCTGGTACAACATTTGTTCCAAACAAGGTATTAATCATTGAAAGAATGTCAATTATTGCAGTCCATGTAAGTGAGTGTTGAGCACCTAATAAAAGTACCATCATAACAGCTTCTCCTCTCGTAGTATTAGTACATTCACATAACCTTTGGCTTAACAGAAAAGTTGCTTCGTCGTCATTATGCTAAAAGAGTGTTAATCAAAAATATTACAACTATATTTCTTCAAAATACCTATTAAATAATATTAGTTTTCTAATGGTCTTACTATGTCGTTATTCATTGACTCATCATCTTCGGCAGATTTTGAATTATCTTCAGCCTGAAAATAAAAGGAATTTTAATTACGTTGAAAACACTTTATCAATTTCAACGATTACTGCTAAATAAATGAAAGACTTCATCTGATAATTTGGGTGTAAAAGTACAATGTATATATAAATCCCAAATATCTGATTCCATCATTCACCATATACATTTAAAGACAAATAAAAAGAGATTTATCAACCAAATTTTCGTTAAAGTTTTTTGATAGTCACAGAGGTTATTTGCTTCTCATATCTTCGACGAAAATTTAACCTTTTTTCCTGTTTCTAGGTAAGAAAACAATGGATTTCTTTCCTTACAAAAGGACAAGAAATCGTTTGTGCTTATGCACAGACGGGCGTTGTCTTTTTTTAGGGAGAAAAACCCTTCTAACCTTGAAACTAAGAAAAATGATCAATTTTGGCGACAATATAAAAAAATTTCATATGTTAACTAGAGGAACGTAACAGGACGTCTTTATTCGGGTGTTTGCTACCCTCGCATACAGCTCGGGTAGCAATTATACACTCAGATAAAAAAACCCATTTTGTTTACTTGGTTAACAATATATTATTAATGATTTATGTGCAAACCAATTATTATATATTATTTATGTACTGCTAGTAGTCCCGTTGCTATTCATTACTAATTAAGAATTTTAACTATTTGGTAAAAAACTTTTAAAGAAATTTTGGTACAGCTAATTTTTCATTTTCTTAATTTCTTACATCGAACCAAACATCTGTATCGTTGATTGTTTCACTCTTCGCTGTCACTGTCTATAAAGTCAAATTGATGCCACCCACAGTGATTGTTGATAACTTTTTCTCCAATTGGTGGCGATATAGACATTCTCTCCATGTTATCGTCAGTTCGATTTGAATATTCATCATCAGAAGAAGAATGTTTAGTAGTAGAAAGATTTTCCCTTTCATTTAACTAAAAAATTGAATGTCATAATTAATTTTGAAAGATTGACAAAAAACAAGTTTTGTTATGAAACACATAGCGACACTGATCAGAATATTTTCATCCTATTGTGAACAGTTTATCCGATGTAAAATATTCCACAAAATTAATTTTTTTTATTAAAAGTATATTATTATTTTTTTTTAAGTTCTACACTGCAAATCGAAGATGATTATACATGTGTGATACCTTTCCTTTCAGATATTTTTTCGATAAAGTTAAAGGAATCCTCTCTCGTTAAGTTTTCTAAGTCGCGACTTTCTGGTTTCGAAATCGAGTCCTACATCTGACTGATTATTGTCTTTCAGATCATCTGAATGATATTTTTTGAGATATTTAAAAAAATTTTCAAAGATATCGAAAAAGTGTCTAATGGTCTAGTCAATACGCTTTGAAAACTCTTTAATTTCATTTTATTACTCATTATTTAATTTTGTTCAATTCATTGAATAAATTGATCTTTTATTTTCCAAATTTAAGCAACTTAAGGAGGGTATGGGAGGTAATCACAAATGATGAATATTAACTTTTACACCATAGATAAGTTTGATATAAGACACACAAAAAAGGTTCTCAAGGTCAAATTACTAAGGTTCGTAGTTTTCGAGAAAAAATTAATGAAAATCCATAATTTAACATTGGTAGAGTACGAAAAACGTCACATGTCATTCTTTTTTCACTTTAACATATTAAAAGAAGTGGGAGATAACTTAAAATGTCGTCACATATAAATTGGAATATTTATGCCATGTTTTTGAGAAAAAAACATTTAATAGGTTCCTTATTAATATAAACAAATTTAATTAAAATATACTAAATCTATAAAATAGCTCAGCCATCATGTGAAAAATGAAAAAATTTGTTGTTTTAAATATTTTGATGATTTCTTTCGATACTTATAGTCAAAATAACTAATTTATGAAGAAAAAAAATGATTCAAGTTTAATATAAATGACATTTTTACTGTTTTTTAAAAATTTTATACAGTCCCAGAAAAAGTATAATTCATATTTTACTTAACCCTACTTTAGATATCCACTGTCGATAAAAGTTTTGATTTTTTCTGTACCTCCAGTACTTCCTTAACTGATGTCCATTCTGTTTATGTATTACAGATAGTCACAGCTTTTATTGAAAGAAAGAAATACTTAAAAAAAGTTAATTTGCCCAAAAGTTAGAGTAATTTGTTTATTATACAGTCACACGAGTTCCGATTAAACAATTCATATTTTGAAAACTATTCATCGTAAACAGTTCGAACTGAACTCATTGTATTTTTCGATAAATTCTCTAAAAATCTTACACAAGATGTATGTATATTCGGTTTCCGATATATTTCCTCGTGATATGTAATTAAAAAAAAGGTAAAAAATAGCTTATTTTAAAAAAAGAGTTCATGCGAATTGTGCTTATAAATGTTAGTCACCCTTTATAAGCTTGAAAACATTGGTTTTGAAATAAAATCGATTACGACTGAAATTCACACACTTTACTTCTGAAATTCCTAAAAATAGCGTGTGTGCATGTTTCATTCGTTTTATGTTTGTGAAATCTGTTTCCAAGCATTTACACACATATTTCGGTTAAATCTCATACATTTGAGTTTGCAGTGTATTCACAATGAATCATTTAATTATAACTAACGACAGATTAGCGATCTCGGAAGAAAACATCTTTCATCTAATAAAGTTATCTCCAGTCGAGGATTTAAACCTACGATTGCTCGCACATGTGCGATTCACCACGCGACATGAATGCCGTCCGATTTAAGTTTTTTTTTTAGGTTATACATGAGATTCCCTATACTTTCTTATACCGAACTGAGACAGCATTTATGTCGCGTAACGTATATGGATTATATTTTAATCGTATATTTAACGTATGTTACTTACGTTCAATAAAGATTGTTCTTGTTCAGAAGATTCCATCTGTTTTTTTAATCGAAAAGCTGTCGTCCGTGGCATCGGTTCATTGTTGTGTGGATCCAAATATCTTTCATAACCTTTTCCTTCCATGATTCAAATATAGTTTATATATTTTTATGTAACAAATTAATTAAAAAAAAAATAATAATTTGTTCTTAATGTATACAAATGTGATAATAAAATTTATGTATGGTATAAATAATTAACAATAATTCGTTTTTTAAACAAAAATGAGTAACACCTAAACCGACAACCTACAATTCGAGTATGGTCGATCTTCTACCTAAAACCATGCTATACGACTCTAAAATATCGTATGAACAACACGCCCCCATCACGAACGCATCCCCATTACGAACGCGTCGTCCCCATTGCCAACTAACAAACACATTTGAGAAATAGTCGAAAGAACTTGATGATAAATTCGAATATGATAATTAAGATATTAGATAACACTGCCCGAGTCTGAATTTTACTCTTATTTTGCCGCTGAACCTCCTGAAGTCAGAAGCATCAGCGGGAAAAAATTATTTTTTCGTATAAGAAAAATAATATAAAATATTTTTATATTTTGCCGCTAAACCCCCTTCATAATTCCCGATTCAGGGGCTTCAGCGGCATAATATTTTTAAAAAATTCAGGGGCTTCAGCGGCAAAAATAATTTCAAGGGGTTTAACGTAAAAAAAAATTCAGGGGGTTCAGTGGGATTTTTTCATTCAGGGGGTCTAGCAGGAAGTAGAGAAAATCGTTGGTGTTCCCGGCGGTCACCCATCCAAGTTCTGTACACGAGAAATTTTGCTTAACATCGAGAGATCGAGTACAGGTTCCTGCATCCACTGCGCTGTGTCGAATTTATAAATCTACTTATTTAAATTCACAATAATGAATATTATAAATGAAATACTATTAATATTCGGGTTTTATATTATTTTTCTTATACGAAAAAATAATTTTTTCCCGCTGATGCTCCTGACTTCAGGAGGTTCAGCGGCAAAATAAGAGTAAAATTCTGACTCGGGTGATATTTGTGATATACACAGATGGAAGAGATTTATTACTCTTAAGAAATGATTTATTACTAGTGAAAATAAATGCTCTTCAACTGATAAGAAATATTTTAAAATAGTAAAAAAGCATTGGTTATGAA